GTCTCCATCTTGCGTCGGTACTTGCTGAATGAATTGGGTTGATTTGGTAACTCTTGAGAAGATGCTTGAGCGCTACAATATTTTGGTTCTCTTGTCAGGATAAATTTGATGTTGCCGTGCTCATAGCGTTGCCCGTCGCCCAGATTCGACGCTGCGAGAATAACCTGCAACCTGATCTGTCAGTCAGTTATAAACCAAAGAGTGGTATCTGAATGGGATCCTTTCAGATGATAGGAGTTCATTCTTGGGTCTTGCCAGTGTGGGCTTGCCACACACAGAGTAATACAATCGGCAGAATGTCAGGCCAAGTGCTGTTAGTTTCTTAAACCTTGGTCTCGTGGCATGGTTGAGACCTGACTTGTCTGATTTTGTTTGCCGCCGCAACCTGACACCTGAATGCCACCATGCTTATTAACAGACCAGCCATCATAGCAGTATTATACCATTCCCCACTGTCTAGATCGACAAGAATCCTCTCCGTTTGTTTTCTAGATCCACGACATCTCACTGATAATATGTATGTAAATCGTAAACACACCAGGTAGTAGGATCAATCTCTACTCTCTCGATCCTTCAAACAGAAGCAGAAGCAGACTAGATGCATTCCGTTAGCCTTGAATAGCCAAGGAAACTCAAGTCCAATCACCTGATTGATCACAATGAACATGATGACAATGAACATCTCCATACTGAACTAGTCCTACTCTATCTAGCTAGAACACACTACAGCACATGCACATCACATTCAGGCTGCAGAACTGACATTCAGCAAGCTAGTTCAGAGATCACAGTTGCTTCATCTCTGCTGGCTCCCGGCTGAGGAGGGGCCATGGTTGCCTCTAAGAAGCTTCACGATCACGCTAGCCAGCTCCTTGCTCCCGTCCTCGGCGCGCCCAGCGGCGTGCACACCGCCGGCGCGCTGCTGCTGCTGCCGGTACTGTTTCCCCATCCTCTGCAGACGCCGCTGCTCCTTCTTGCTCGCCCTCATCTCCAGCGACCACGCCGTCACGTCGTCGATGCGCTCCAGGGCCTCCCTCGCCAGCCTCTCCGCCTCCCTCGCCAGCGCCGGATACTCCTCGCAGCGCCTCTTCTTAGCAGGCGTAGGGGCCGCGGCCGGCATCGGCGTGACCGGCATCTTGTTGCCCACCGCCGTGGACGCCGCGTCCTTGTCGGGCACCGGGTCGCGCCGGGGCGGGGCGACGACGGCGGGCGTGGCGCCCCAGACCTCGAGCGAGAGCGCGTACATCCGGAGGCCGTGCCCGGGGGCCGGGCAGCCGGTGCCGGCGCAGAGCGCGGCGTCGGCCTCCCTGAACCGGCGCCGCAGGGCCCGGATCTTGGCCTCCACGTCCCCGAAGCTGTAGTCCGTCCTGCTGAGCCGGCCGAAGAAGGTGGCGACGAGGTCGGCGCTGCGGGGGAGGCCGCCGTGGCTCCAGAGGTGGGCCCGGAGGGACTGGAGGATCACCGCTTCGTCCTGCTCGGACAGACGGCTGCTGTCCACCGGCGCGGCGGTGCTGGTGGATACCACTGCCGGGGGGAGGTCGACCGGCCGGACTGGAACGGGGACGGGAGCGGTGGCAGACGCAGGCGGCGCGTGCTCGCTTGCAGTGTGCGCGCTGGCCATGGCGAACGCGGGTGGAGGCAAGCGGGCAGCGTTGGTTCGCCCTGGCCGTGTGGCGGGAGGAGGCTCATGGCTGTTTCGGAAAGCGCGGGTGCGCGCTCTCGGTTTGCCGCGCGATTGGGCCGGTTTCGCGCCAAACATTGCATGACTCTGCTGGAGAGCTTCTGAAGATGGCGCGATTCTGAGCACGCCACGGCACATCTGAATCTTACGGCAGTGCCTCCATGTCCATCTTGTCGTTGACGCCGATATCTTGCACAGCAAAAGTGGGTTGAAGATAGGAGTACCGGAGAGAGTACGCCAATAAGTACAGGAGCAGTGGTAATATTAAGTGCGCATCTGCACGCAGAGCCTTCAATGGCACTCGCTTCTCATCGTGACTGTAGTACTCCCCAGCATTTCAAACTGCCTGGGCAGCCAGCAGCAGGAGACGCGAGGAGAACATGAGAGTTTCAGACACAAATGCGACAGGGTTAAAACGTACTCCCTCCGTCTCATAATATAAGAACGTTTTTTTACATTATGGGACGGAGGGAGTAAGAGAGAAACAGAGCATACAACCACCAAGCGTAAAAACTCGAAATCCCTGACAGGTGGGACCCACAACATCCATGAGAGGTCAAAGCTGACACGGCGTTGCCCAGTCAGCAGTAACGCAGTCAAAACAGGTCCGCACGGTCAAACCAGTAAAAACCGAGCGGGGGTTTGATTCCTGAACAGAGTTGCAAGTTTTTTTTATTTTTTGTTTGAGGGAGAACCGGTTTCGAAGTTAAGGGTTGAATTTTAAACCAAATGGCAAGTTGAAGGCTGCAATGTGGTTATTCTTTTTTCCTTTACCGTTTATCATTACCACTTCGTGCCCGTTTACCAATCTGTGTGGCACCAGGCTTGTACGGGGTTTTTTTTTGAGCATAAGTACAGACACAAGCGCTCATATACATGCGCATACATTCACCCCTATGAACGCACACACGCACACCCTATCCCTATGAGCACCTCCGAAAGACTGAGCCGGCACATCATCTTGAGATTTACGAAGTCACCGTAGACGCCTCGTCGTCAACGGGAACGTCTCCTCCCACTGAAAGCGCATCGCCGGAAATCCTGAAATAAATCCAGGAATAATGCGAGCACCAGGATTTGAACCCTGATGTGTTGGGGATACCACTGTCCACCTAACCATCTCAACCACAGGTTGGTTCGCAGGCTTGTACGGGTTGATGTGTGCATGTGACCGTGATTTCTCTGGCGATCACCTCCGAAGGCCCGCTACCACCATCATCGAAGAAGGTCCGGTCCGCCGGTCCGGTGCGCGCTTCAGCTCACGAGGAGCGCTTCTGGTTGTGAACAATGGAATTGGTCGCCTTACCTATAAAAAGCGTACAAGTAAAATACAGTGCCTCGTAGCATATTGGATCGTTGGATGATTTTTTTGTTGTTGCTTCGAGTAAGAGTGAACCAAATAGATTCATATTTATGAAAAAGACCTCAGGAAGAAGCCCTAGAATTCTAGGCTTGAACCCTTGCTCGACTGCATGAGCAAGGAAACCAATGTGGCAAAGAGCAATGCACGATCCCCATCCCTCATCAGGCTTGACAAGGCTGATCTGATGAGGTGGACCAAAGAAAAGATAAATGGCATATGCACCAGCAGTGAGGCTGTCTAGTTAATTAGGACCACCACCGGTCCGTGTCACGCCTTGAAGCAACAGCCACGCCAAAACAAAACAGCGAGGCCGTTTGCGTACGGATTCAGAATCCATGATTTATTAGCACGCATCTGGCTGATTTATTCTATAATCAATCTGCTACGGGTACCATTTTACATGTGCTCCCTTTGCTATCAGAATCAAAATCAAAATCAAATATTATTTGAGCCTGGTTTATTTTGGAATCAAAATCAAATGTGCTACGGCTACCATTTTACATGTGCTCCCTTTGCTATCAGAATCAAAATCAAAATCAAATATTATTTGAGCCTGGTTTATTTTGGAATCAAAATCAAATGTGCTACGGCTACCATTTTACATGTCATCCCTTTGCTATCGGAATGGCGACGTCGACAAGGAGGAGGAGGAGGAGGAGGAGGACTAGCGGCACCGCCACAATGGAGGGGCGGTCGACGAACCACAAGGGACGGCTTGTATGCCTTGCTGTGACGCATCAATTCTTTTCTTACTTGTTGAGAATCTTTTTGAGCTTTCTATGCAGACTTTCTAGGACCTCTGTCATTAATAAGAAGGAAAATGTCTTTTTTTGTATGATAACACCATTCGTTCATTTGATTCAAAGGAATTGGCAATAGAAAAAGTGCAGGAATTTTTCGTATAGTTTTTATGTTGCACTCAAACCTCCTTCTTACATTTGTATGCAAAAGGAGCAAGGCAAAGACCATAAGAGGTATAATTCCAACCTAATATCACCTTTGCATATGTCATAAACCTAATTCGGATACTTTCTTGCAGCCGAAACTCGTTGGCCGATCAATGGACGATGCTCCGTCCGTCGGATGCGCTTCATTTTAACCCATGCATCATGCATGTATGATTAGATCAATAGGATCGTCTATAAATCGGCCGAGCACTGTCGTGCATGTAGCAGCACTCTTCGCACAATGCATCGTCTTGCACACGCAATTCTATCACATTCATATGTTCATTTTATCTTTTTAAATCCTAAAAATCAAATCAAATCAAAGGCCCCCCCTGAAGAAAAGAAAAGATCACATGATGGTGAGAGCCGAAAACGCCGTCCTCGCAACCACCGTTCATGTGTGCTTTCGCGGCTTCTTAAAAACTCGCAAGTACGTACGTAAGTACGTACAGTGTCCTTGGTCTTTGCCGATACATACATACATACACGTACATTGATACATACACATACCCTGGTCCGTGGTACGTCCACACCACGGCCACGCACATGCGCGCCGGGCCAGCCCGCCAGCCCGCCAGCCACCGCTCGCCGGAGCAGCCGCAAAAACATGGACCCCTCCACCCCACTCCCCGGAGTCCCCGCCACCTCCACCTCCACCTCCACCTCCACCTACCGCCAGCTCGAGCAAACCCTACACACCCCTCCCCTCCCGATCTCCATTACCCCATCATCCCCATCATCCTCGTCTCCATTACACCCATCATGACTGATTGCCGCTGCTGCTAAGCACCACGGTTAACGAGGCAAGCCCAGCTCGAGCAGAGCAGAGCTCACTCCCAAACCCTACTGCGGCAGCTCACTTATTTGCAAGCGAGCTCCCCACTGCCTGCCTCACTCCCCAATCCTCATAGTAAACAATAGGAATAATAAATTCGAGGAGGAAAAAAACAAGGCGAGGTCACAGGCTCGGCTCGCGCATCTCTCCTTGTGCTGCCCCCTCGCGCGCCTGATGCGCCGCAAGAAGCACTTGGACCGCGCTGGCGGCGGCGGCGGCGGCGGCACCGAGCTCTTCATCTGCTTCACCTCCCGCCCCTCCGCCTCCGGCCTCCGCCCCTCCGCATCCTCCAAGGCTTTCAGCCCCGGCCGCACCGCCGCCGGCGCCGGAGGAGCGAGCGGAGCTGGTTCTGGCGGTGCTGCCGACGCGGCGCCGGCCGCGCTGCTGCGCCCCTCGCTGAGCAGGCGGCTGAGGAACAGCGGGAGCCTCAAGGGCGGCCAGTCGCCCATGTTCCCGCCGGGCACGGCGTCGGGGGGCCGGCGCGGGCGGGGCGGGATGGAGCCCGCCGAGCCCTCCTCGCCCAAGGTCACCTGCATCGGCCAGGTCCGGGTCAAGGGCGGCAAGCGCAAGCCCAAGCACGCCTCCTCCTCCGCCGCCGCCGCGCTGCGCTCGCGCTCCAGGCGCGGCGGCGGCCTGTCCGGCTCCGAGGCCAGCTTCCGCCGCGGGGCGGACGACCGGGACGCCGCCCTCCACCCCGGCGCCAAGAACCAGGGCTGGGTCTACCAGATCCCGGTCAACATCTGCGAGGCGCTCAAGACCTTCGGCTCCTGCGGCGGCCGCTCCCTCTGCTCGCCGTCCCGGGAGCGTGGTGGGGGCGCGCCGCGCTCCGGTGCCGCGGGAGACAAGAAGCGCCGCCGCGCCCCGGCCGGCGGCAGCTGGCTCTGCGGCGCCGCCGTCGCGCGGTGCCTCCTGGCGATCCAGGAGGAGGAGGACGACGTCGGGAAGGGCTCCGCCGTCGGGCCCGCCGACGAGGCACGGGAGTCGCAGGTGGGGCTCGTGATGCAGGGCTGGGACGTGGAGGACGACTACGAAGAGGAGGACGAGACGCGCGTCGTCGTCGGCGAGGTGGAGGTGGAGAAGGAAGATGAGATCTTGCTGGTTGGAGGCAAGGAGGAGGAGGGGAGGGTCAGCGTCTGCATCCCGCCCAGGAACGCCCTCCTGCTGATGCGCTGCAGATCCGACCCCGTGCGCATGGCGGAGCTCGCCACCCGCTTCTGGGGTTCCCCTGCGGCGGCCACTGCCAGCGTCGGCCAGGTCGACAATGAAGGGGGCGTCGGCGGCGTCCAGGAAGAAGAAAAAGAGGAAGGCCATGCCAATTTGGAAAAGGAATGTGAAGAGGAAGCTCGGAATTCAGCGGTTTCCGCCGACGGCGAGGTATGCCGCGAGCGCGGCGTGGTTGAAGATGACGGCGGCGAGGCAGGGGATGCTGGTCAACCGGAGTCTGAAGACGAGAGCTCCAAGCGTGGAGATATCGGGGAAGAAGAGAATGATGGAGGCTCCAGAGGAGATGCAGAGGAGAAGGATGAGCCTGTGGAGGCTCAAATTGTTCGCAAGGACGTAGGCTTGGAGGTTGAAGCTGCTAAGAGCGAGAGCCAAGCACCGGCAATGGTGGAGGCTGTGGCAGACACCAAGGAGGATGCTGATGCTCCAAGAATGGAGGAAGAGGTGAAGGGCAGGAGGTCAGTCAGCAGCTGCTCCCCATCCACAGCACTGAAGGAGGACCGCAAATTGCGGCGGCTGGGCAGCACCAGGAGGCGCGTTTCCACCAGCAGCAGGGCCTCCTCGAGCAGCGATCGTGTCGACAGGCGGCACAGCTTCTCCGCCGAAATGGAGGCGCGGCGATCGAGCTTCTCGAGCTTGAAGGACTCGAGGAGGGCAAGCTTCTCCATCGACAGGGATGGCCGGAGGTGGAGCTTCACCATTGAGCAGGAGCACCTCGTCGCGGAGCCCAAGGTTTTGATGGCGTCCAGGAAGGGGAAGAAAAATTCGTCCGAGGCCGAGTCGGAGAAGGACTGCCCTGTTCTTGTTGCTGCACCGAACAGTGTGGAGGAAGCCCAGGAGTGCAATGAGGATGGAAAGGAAGAGGCCACAAATGATGATGCTGAGGAAGATGGAACGACAGCACGATGTGGCGAGATTAACACGGAGGCTGAGAAGGTTGAGACCGGAGTCGATGAGGAAAAAACCGTTGAGGTGAAGCAGGAACAGAGGAAGAAGAGCGGCGAGCTGCCGGATTGCCTCCTGATGATGATGTGTGAGCCCAAGCTCTCCATGGAGGTCTCCAAGGAGACATGGGTGTGCAGCACCGATTTCGTCCATTGGAAGTCTCACCAGGGTCAGAATCGCCGCCAACAGAAGGCGGCTGCTACCGGCAGCAATGCTGCTGCGTCAGAGGAGACGAAGGATGATTTAAGCAATGCTCCGGACGACACCGGTGTCGCGAAGGATACAGAAGAGAGCACCGTAGTGCAAGCACCGGCGAACCCCGCGTCTATGCCACCCCAGGCCGCCCCGAAGCCACCACTGAAGCCAGCAGTGGAGCAGAAGCTCAAGCTAGAGCTGCCGAAGGTCGCTGCCAGCGTGGTGGCGTACGCGCCGCTCGTCCTGAAGCGATGCAAGTCCGAGCCGCTGCGGTCGTCTGCGCGGCTGGCGCCCGACACGTGCTTCTGGAAGGAGGACCGGCACCGGCCCCTCAACGCCACCGGGATCGGCTTCTGATCCCGGACAAGCAAGCTGGTACGCCCGCTTTAGCTAGCTAGTTAGTGACCACCCCACGTTTCTATAAGCTTTGTTCTGTAATAACTGTAGTGAGCTTTGTTGTTATGTAATTGTAGTGAGCTTGTTTTTCCATGCTTGGTACGTGCTGTTAGTTATGTGATGGATATTAAGCAAGTTACATGAGATGAGAATAGATTAGGGAGGACTATGTGTAAAAATCTCTGAGGTTTGCTTTGCTTTGCTTTGTTCGGTGTGCTAATTTCCTTTCCCCGTTATGATGGATGATGTTTGCGCATTACCTAAAAAAAACATGATTGTGGTTTAAGGGTTGTTGTGCCAATCTACATCTTGCATCTGCATGCTTTTCTGATAATGTTTGCATATAAGATAAGAAGGTTATCCTGTCCTTGAAGACAAGATATGGAAATGCTTTCTTTTCCTTGCAAAAAGCAATCTGGGAGCATATTGTGTATGCAATCATTCAGGTTAATGGTTTTGCATGACCGGTGCAAAAACCATGCAACCAGAGGAGGATCTTTTCCTTGGTTGCTTGTGCCTGTATGATGGTGACACCTCAATTTTTTTGTTGGTTGCTTGTAGGTGGAATTTTACAGTGCCCTGAAATTATACATTGTTCATTTGAGCTTTAACCTAGCAATTCCGGGACGTTGGATGATTGCATTGAGTTTTTGTTCTGGTTAAATCATCAAGCTCCTGAACTGCTGCTGCTGTTGTGGTTGGGTTCGTTGGCTCTGTAGTGCACGGAACCTACAGCAAAACGTACTACGTACTAAATTTGTGGATGGATTGGAGGTAACATGCGTGCTCGTGTTGGCAGAACAAGAGCATGTTGTTACCGACTTTCTCTCCATAATTTAACTGCCTTGCACTAGCAACTTGAGCTGAGTAAGGAAATTACCCCGAATGGATTGGTTCTGCTGCTGCTGCTGCTGTGTCAATGGGTGTAAGATTGTTTCAGTGACACTGTGTCGAGTGTGTGAAGTGGTAGTATGGCATTGCTGGTATGAGGATTGAATTATGAGGTGCCTGGCATGTGGTGCACTGTGCTGTTCAAACAGCAGCTACTAACTAGTACTAGAATGAATCTGAAGCTTGCGTGCAGGATAGAGAGAAGGTCCAGAGTCAATCATGTGGAGATGAGATGAGAGTAGTGGTCTTAAGATTGGAGTGGAGTGGAGTTGGTGGGGGCGGGGCGCATAGGGTGGTGGTGGGGGGAGGGGGGGACAGGGCGAGGCGATCCCACTAGTCTCAGTCTACAACAAGCAAACAGATCAGCAGACCGCACCTTAATGTCTATTTTTTTCCCGAGACTAAAAGCATCCACTGCTGAGGCCGCCCAAATCCATCTCAACCTTTTTGGTCCCCTGCACTGTACCGCCCCTTTTGTAGCTCTACCTCCACTCTAGCTGCAATGCCACCTCCAGCTCCATTGATGATCCCTGAGGCCAACTCCAAACGGACGTCTGGTTTGCCTGGATTTTGTCCATTTGGGACGGCAATGGGTTCGTTCATGTCTGTCTTTGTCCGTTGGGTCGTGGGTGCGTCCAGCGCGCGGCCGCACCTCAAATCATGTCCGTGTTAAACGTGACAAAAAAAACATAAAAACTAAAATAAAATAACTAAAAAAGTAAATAACGCAGTTAAAAAAACTTAAAACATCAGTTAGGGGTCACCGCCACAGAACGGCCCAGTTCCATGGTTCACTTAACGGCCCAGTGCTATAATTAACATAAAAACAAAATAAAAAATGCTGCCCGCGCGCTCCTGCCGCGCCCGTCGATGCCGTGACCGTCGCCGTCTTCTGTGGCCGCTGGTGTCGTCATCGTCGCTGATGAGGTCGACGTAGTCGGGCGGCGTCCAGAGGTGGGTCGGCGATCCGTGGTGCACCGGGGCGGGCTGGAAGGTGGCAGGTGCCTGCACCACCTCCTCCCGTGGTGACGCGTCCCGCTCCGGTGACCGCGGCAGCGTAGGGCACCAGTTCACGCCCCCCATATGGCGTGCGCCATCTCCGGAGCTGTGCAGGACCAGCTCCACTGCTGGCCCAGCAAGCCCAGGTGGAACGCGACCACCGACGCCTCCTCCATCACCTTCTTCGCTACCACTATCTCCAGCTCGGGGATGGCGACGTCACCGGCCGCAGAGAGGGCCATCGTCTCCTCTATGCCCGGCCATTGGCACTCATCATGTGTGTTCATGGAGTCCTCCATGACACGCTGCATGAGTCGGGCCTTCTCCTCTACTGTCATGCGAGGAGGTGGAGGTGGTGACGGAGACAGGGAAGGCGACGGCGTGGGCGTGAGGCCACGCACCTCCTGACGTGGCTGGCGCAGCCCCGATGTCGTGCCGACGAAGTAGGAGGCGCGCCGCACGTCGTGCTTGTCCTGGAGCCACGTGTCCCAGAGCACGGAGTTGGGGGCGTACCTATCCTCGCGGTTGTGCTTCCCCTTGCGGCTGTAGTTCAAGAGCCCCATGACTGCGAGGCGGCCGGCCGGCGAGTTCGAGGCTAGGGTTTGGTGCTGCCGGGTATCGAGGAGGCCGCGGGGTGGAGTGGGGAGTGTGGACGACGACCGGTCCATGGCTTCCCCATTTAAGAAGGACCGCGACCGTTCGCCTGGGCGGATGACAGGTGGGACCGGCCGCGCGTGCGCATTGATGTTGGTGGGTGGGAGGTGGGTGGCCGCCTGCCACGTGGCCCCGACGCGGACGAGCAACGCGTCTGTTTGCTATTCGCTGCGACCCAAATCTGACGCATGTTTGCTTTCGGAATGGGTCGGCCCGGATATAAAACGGACCAGATGAGTTTGCGCCGTCACGCGCTAGGTCAATTGGTTTGTCCCTTTTATCTCAAATAAATGAAGCTGGACAAATAGGGTCCGGCTGCGGAGTTGGCACGAGGGCTGAAGAAGGGAGGGAGGAGGTGCTTTTCTTTGCCTTTTCTTCTCTCTGGGCGGGCGCGGACAACAGCTAGCTTTGTGCCCACCTCGCAAATGTGCTGGGGCTGGATGGATGGTCCACGCTCTCACGTGCTGTAGCATCTTTGCACAACGGCAGCTAGCCTTTGGAGTGCGCCGTGCATTGGCATTGGCAATGGCGACGACGCATCATTTGGGCTCCGGCGCAGGGGTGTGGCGCCACCTTGCAGTCTACCCTGTGCGTGATTCTTCCTGCTCTTTATTCCAAGAAAGGTACGTGAGAACTTGTGCTGCGTACAGTACATCTGAGCGAATCGGCAGACAGACGGTCTGGTCGGACGGAATGCGATGGCGTCGGTTGGTCAAGGTTTTACCGTCGCTCCCATTGTACTCCCTTACGTACCCAAGATGTACTTGACCGCCTACGTACTTAGCTACTCCCTTACGTACCCAAGATGTGACTCGATTATCCTGTCGTCACGAGGCTTTTGAGAGCAATCTTTGCTCCTAGTACCAGGAATAAGCCTCGATCCATCATCATCATCGTCATCATCATCTTTGTGTGAGCTGCTCCTAGATACTAGTAGGATTTTTTGTTTGTTTGTTTGCCGGTGTGCACCTAGCTAGGTTGCTCAGGTTGATTCATATAGGCTTTGATTATTCTTCATTTCGCTCATTTCGCACTTTGATTGGCTTAATATTTAAACGTTTAGCATATCAACCAAACATGCACACAATTTTTTAACAAGTTACATGAAAAAGAAAGCACTTAAAAACCAGCGAGGCGTACAAATAACATGTTGTTAGCGTGTGTGCATCGTCCCCTCTCCTTCAACGTGTGCACCGTCTCCTTCTCCGGGGTTACTGAAATGTATGACCATCGTTCATGTCTTGTCCCGAAATTGCCACGCCACTAGATCCGTCATGTTTGAATCCAAATTGTCAACCAATTGTCCTTCGATACCTGTTCAGTTGTCGCCCGACGCATCTAAATTTTCGAGCCTACGCACCTACATCTCTTTCCGACATCGTTAGTTCTATCTTGCATAGCATCACATATAACCCTCTTCTCTTGGATGTTCTTCTCCTCCATCGCTGGCTTTTCTTACCAACTATTCTCGGCTCGGCGTGCACTTTTCTTGTCTGCATCAACTCACCGGTCTTTTCTTTTCATCGCCCCCACCTCTCCTTCTCTCTTGAGAATCTATTTTCTTTTCTTCCTTATGTCGGGCCGATCTATGCTAGACGTCGGAGTAGGACTTCTAGGCACCCTTTCCCTTTCCTCTCCATCATATTCTTCTTCTTCACGGTCCTCTATCACCGGAGAGGAATTGTTGCAATTCCCAATTTTTGAATTGTCGTCATCATTCCTTAATTAACTTTCACTACTTGTGGCCTTCCAGCAAATTCCGACGATGTTGGAGGCCAACCGATTTTCCTTTCGATCTTGACAGTTGTTGGTACCTCGCTTGGGCTATGTAATCCTAAAAATGCTCAAATTGATAAGAATGCTCATAGTAACGAAAATGTGATAGTAAGACAATAACAAGAGGTGGGCCGGTGGCCCCTGTAGTGGCTGCTAGGCCTGAGGCGCCTGCAACACCTCCTCCAGTGGCGACGGTTCCTGCTCTGGTTACCGTGGCGACATGGGTAACCATGGCCCAACACCCACCGCGTCGGCCATCTTCGATGCCGTGGACGACCAGCTCCACCTCTGGCCCACCAAGCGTAGGTTCCACGCGGCGACGGGCGACTCCTCAACCACCTCCTCCTTGACGGGCACGTCCAGCTCCGGAATGGCAAACACGGGCGGCGCGGGGCTGGTGTGTAACACCCCGGATGTAACTTTCCCTATTTGTACTCCAACTCTTGCCGTTTCCGGCGTTAAGTTATATTTATTTCCTCGGGTTCCGGTCTTTGTCTCCGTGTGTTGTTATCGTTGTCATGCATCTCATATCATGTCATCATGTGCATTGCATTTGCATACGTGTTCGTCTCATGCATTCGAGCATTTTCCCTGTTGTCCGTTTTGCATTCCGGCGCTTCGTTCTCCTCCGGTGGTCATTT